CCGGAACCGCCGGTTCAACAGCCCGGCGGGTCTCGGATGGTTCCGGGCCGGTACGGCCCTTAAAAATCCACAAAAAAGCAATGCGACCCGGCGCGGCCCGGCCCGGCCCGGCCCGCCGGGACAAAAGAAAAAAACCCGTGACCCTTAACCGGACCGGATTGGCCGCGGTCCGGTTCTAAAAACCGGCACTATTCATGCCGGTACCGGTACCGGGTCGGGCCGGGCCGGTACCGGGTCACGGGTCGGGCCACGGGCCAACCATGTCTAACTGGGGTCCAACTCCCAAAAAAAAAAAAGATTTTTTGTTTTTAATTTTTCGAAAACATATTCATAAATACGATCGAACACATATTTTGTAATGTAGATACTCGGGAGTAATGGTCGAATCAAACAGGTACACGACTGAATATAATGGGAAGACATTCTTAAATAGAGTCTAGAATACAACAAATGCACTCGAGACTGAATTAAGGCCCTCTCCGACATCCGAAAAGCAGTCTCGAACCACCTCATAATTATAAATTATATTTATTTCAGATTAAGTTAATATTTTTATATTTATAAATATGATATTTCCCTTTTTTTCGCTTATTTTGGCCCATTTTTCGGCTTGCATGTCTTTTTTTTCATTTTTTATTTGGTTACATAAAGTTCATTTGAATTGTTGTATTCGAGACACCATATGATTTCGCTAGGCTTCTATTAGAACACTTTGTAATTGAATTAATTATAAATGATCATCTATCGTATGCATAAGAGAGTAGGTAATATGTATAAATTTTTTTATTAAAAGAGGGTCATCTACGTATAAAAACATAAGTAGAAAGTAAAATAGTAGATGTTTTTTATTTTACAAATGCAATATATACAATATAATATTATTTACGGTACCATTTATTAAGTATATTAAATATTTAAAAATTATTTTTATATTTCGACCTCTTTATACATGCATCTAGCTAGATTATTCGAACTAAGCGCTTCATGTTCGAACTCATGCTAATATAATAAACAAGGTGGTGTGGCTAGACTCATTTAATAATCAAACAAAAAGTTAATCTCAAGTTTTGCTCATATAAACTTAATTCCACTAATTTTGTTAAACCTTAAAAGATAAACCAAAGCGTGAAACACTAATAGAGTTAAGCCTCGTCTTGTTTGATAGACAAGTTGTAAGCATAATCCCGAATCTTTAATAAATAATTTGGTGTATACGAGACCACATATTGTAATGATCTTGATCCTGATGATCTCACGAGACTCCCGTAATTCTTTGATCTAATTAAGTTTTTCCCTCCTGACCATTTCTTGATGTAGCAGAAAAACTGATGGGAAATACTGCATACCGTAATCGGATGAGAGATGACTAATTTATATAAAGGTGACTATAGATCTGGTACGTTCATCAAATATCCATATTAGTGGCTTAGATCAATTTGAACATTAAATAAATGCATAGCCCAATAGGTTAATTAATTGTGAGCCCAAGACTTTCGGGCCACATATATTTATTAGGTGGGCATAAACAAATCTAATTAGTCATATATCATAATAAACTATGACATGATAAACCATATAGTGAGAGTTATGATGGTTGTCCACTCTCGATTCGATACTTCTTTTCATATGGTACAACACTAACAGTTCAACACATCAAATTTCATAATTATATATAAATATCATAATGTCCATTTAGTTGTCTTGAAGACATTTATTTCTTACTCTAAACAAAATGCATAAAAGATCATAAATGAACAAGGGGACGCTATTGTCTTTAAGAAAGTGGGTGTCGACATCTCTGAAGTTGTTTTTTTTATGAGAAATGATATGAAAAATCCTTTCTTTTTATGGGAGATATGCTAGTTCACGAGATTTTATGACTTAGATTTTTTTTTTCATGTAACAAGATTAAATATGATGAAATATAAAACTTTATTTACAAAATTAGTATTTTCATTTTATTTATTTTATGGAGATTGAGTCTTGAATTTATTAGTTTACTCATAGAACATGAATTCTTCAAAAACTATTATACGTTTTTTATTCTCATAAATGTCGTAGGTTCATCCGCTTACAAAAAATATTTTTTAACCAAATCTCTGTATATTCCCTGCATAGGTGTCACATAATTAACATAATATATACGAACTTTCTAAATTATTTGTCTCTCTATCGTATAGTTTATTGCATATTAAAGTCGCACTGGATCAATTATCTTCGATTTCTGTTTTTATATTAGATAATAATTGTGTAAGTAATTATTGCAGATTACTTATAATGAACTTACCAAAAAATAAAATTTTAAATAATTTAATTTGTGATTAATTATGCGTATAACATTTCGCCTATTAATCGCATATTTTAGTAAGAAAAAGTAATGGTTCTGCAGATCACAGTTTTTTAGACGCATTTATCATAAAATAAATAAATTTAATGATATTGCGATTCAAAACAGTCGTATCTCTTTAGTAGTCTGTTATAGAGTATCTGAAACGCTTCATTTTTTCTGTATTAAATAATAACTATTTTTTTTCCAAGCGATAGATGAACAACATTAAACACAAACGAAGATACAAGAGTTCTAATACAAGCCGGGAGAGACCCCGGAAAAAACAAACTAAAACCAAACATCAACTAATGGAGAAACACTCAAAGAGTGATCTAGACACATACACCCAACTACGAACTTTAAGCAAGTACAAATCCTTGCGACTTAAAGCCGTAAATCCCCCAAACAAACCTCAACAAAAGAACAGAAACCAGCAAATAAAAACTACAGCAAAGATGAAAAAAGGAACCAAACTAGAAACTGGACTCAGCCCGCTCAAAGCTCTTCGCAAACTCCACCCATTCTTTCCACGCGCTCTTCACCACCATCTCCTCTGGGATCCAAGTCTTCTCGAACAACCATAAGTTTCTAGACCGCCATAACCACCAAAGGATGTACGTGGTCAGTTGGATGCGGTCCTCAGAGATGATCGATGAGTCTGTTGAACAGATTTGCCACCACCATTGTCTGAAAGAGTTACCACTCTGTTGCACTCCGTCCCATTTCAAGGGTGACAATTTCCACACCTTTTTTGCTTTCCTGCACTCAAAGAACAAATGTTCTATAGTTTCCTCCCCCTCTCCACATTGATGGCATATAACATCCACCTGGACTCCTTTCTTGATAATGTTGACACTGACTGGAAGAATCCCATTAAAACACTTCCAAATAAAGTGCTTTAATTTCCCTTTAACCCTCATCTTCCAGCTTCTTTGTCTAATGAGTTTGTCCTTCTGACCTGTGCCACTTCCTTCAGCTCTGTCCATTCTCAAGAGTTTGCATTCCATCAGATGAGAGTATGAGCCAGCAAAATTGAATTTTCCATTTTTGTCAAACTTCCACTGCCATCTGTCAGGGAGCTCAGGTCTCAAAGAGTCAATAGCAAGAATAGCTAGTCTGTCATTCTCTGAAAACCTTCTAGCTAAGATATTGTTGTTCCAGCTCCTCCCATCTTCATTGATTAGGTCAGAAACCCAAATTAAGGGTTCTTCTGCATTCTGTAAGGGTTGAGGACTCTTATGAAGTAAATTAGGCACCCAGCTGTGATCTAGAATTTTGGTTTGTTTGCCACTTCTAATCTCCTTACTCAGCCCCTTAGCCAAAGTTGGTATGAAATCCACCCAGTTATTCCATATCCATGATGCTGTGCTTATCCTTTTGGCCTCCATAATTGATGTTTGAGGGAAATACTTGGCCTTAAGCAGTCTGCTCATGAGAAGGTCTGGACAAGTTGTGACTCTCCAAATCTGTTTTAATATCATAGCCTCATTGAATAGTTTGTAATCATGGAACCCCAAACCACCCTCAGCTTTAGGCACTGTAATTTTATTCCATTGCTTCCAATGTATTCCTCTGTCATGCTTAGACCCTTTGCTCCACCAGAAGGCAGCAGTTAATCTACTCAACTCTTGACAAGTAGCAGCTGACAGCTTAAAGCAACTCATGGCATAAACAGGGAGAGAATTAACCATTGCCTTTACCAAGACTTCCTTACCTGCTGTGGACAGATAATTGTTTTGCCAGCTCAACAGTCTTTTCCTTGCAGCTTGGATGATGAATACAAAAGCCTCCTGCTTTGATTTACCAATTCCCAAAGGGAGTCCCAAGTATCTAGATGAGTTGTGAGCTTGGACTCCATTCATCATTGCCCCTAAGTACTGTTTCAGAGAAAGGGGAGTATTCCTGCTATAGAAGACTGTGGATTTAGCAAGATTCACCTTCTGGCCAGAAAAAACATTATAAATCTCCAGAATGTGAAGGAGCCTCTGAACTTGACCATGATCAGCTTTGCAGAAAACCAAGGAATCATCTGCAAACAACAGGTGTGTGATAGTGGGACAGCCTCTGGCATTTCTAAGGCCACTGAATTGGTTGTTGGCAGCTGCAGCTTGGATGAGGGAAGAGAAAATCTCTGAAACCAAAAGAAAAAGATAAGGTGAAATTGGGTCACCTTGCCTCAATCCTCTGGTGGGTTTAATGTGCCCTACTGCCTTGCCATTAACCAGAAAGGAGAAGGAAGATGTAGAAATACAATCTAGGATACACTTGATAAAACCTTCTGCAAACCCCATTTTCTGCATTGTTTTCTTCACACTCATCCACTTCACTCGGTCATAAGCCTTGAGCATATCTAATTTAACTGCCATATAGAAGTGAGGTCCAGATTTGTGCCGGTTAAGAAAATGAAAAATCTCTTGGGCTATCACCACATTATCAATAATCTGCCTTTCTGGTATAAGTGCTGCCTGAGCTGGGTTGACACAGACTTTAAGACATGATTTAAGTCTAGTGGCCAGGATCTTAGAAATCAGCTTGTAGACTACCCCACATAGACTGATAGGTCTAT